TCACAAGTGATTAAGTTAGCGATGCCAAGGGGGCTATTACAGAGCTCTGCCGTAATTAGCATGCTCCCATTTTAAACTTTACAACATGTTCATGGGACGGCAAATGATCAAAGTTAGCCCAGTTGAAACATAGGCTATCAGAACATGAATAACACCTTAATCACCTTAAACAGCACGGACACATAAAATTTGCCAGAACCTTCTTAATCCATAAGAAATTGTATGGGGGTTATCTCTAGGTGCTAATATGCTTATTTAAGCTGATATAAAACCCATAGGTATCTGCACTTTTACATTGCAGACAAGAGTTCTGTGTCTAATCTGCGTAAAAAAACATTTTCATTTCTGTTGTTGCTTTGCACTTTGTTCTGAGCACTGAAACATTCGGTAGGCACCATGGTTCAATCCCTCTACCTGTGTTTTACATGTCCAACGTGCCATCCACTGAGTTGTAGGCCAGCAAGTCTATATACAACGTGCAAGCAGCGACCAGCATACTTGTGGCAGACATTGTTAAAAAATACTTGTTAGAGCATAGTGTAATGTAACAACATCTATGCATATACATATATATGTACGTAATAGTAAGTAAGTGTTAGGTGGTGATGGCAGGAGGTGTGGGTGGTGGGTGTTTGCCTCCAGAACTAGTCTGGAGCTCCAGGAGTGGCTCTCTCACAAACTGTATCAACTTCTCCATCTTTGCCTTCTCAGACTCATTCGTTTTGTTCTTTTCCTGACAGTTTGTTAAATTACAATTAAAGCAGGACAGCTAAGTGTGCAGTGCATTATACTTGGTGTTAAAAAACTACAGAACCACTTTTTGTAAATGTGGTATATAGTGGAATACTGAAACCTTGCATTCTTGCACTGGCCCTATTGCTATCCCAACTTAACAATCGCAGTTACACTAACAAAACGTATACAGAGATGAGTATCACATTGGCTTGACACAAACGATGCCTGCCATTTCTGATGATGGGAACAACAACATTGCAGAGGTCAGAGGGATATTATTATAGTGAGATTCATGATAAGGCGAAATTCAAAGTCCCTGAGCAGTTGAATTCACGGCCACCCACATTCGTTAGAACACACAGACACTATACCACATGCACACCACATTCAGAGGTTAGTACATACTTGTCAACAACTCCACCCCCAAATCTTTGCACCTGCATTATACGTACGTCACCTTGTATATAGTCAAACGTGCATTATTATAATGGACTGCATACATTTGCTTGGTAATGTACAGGTAAATGAATGTTCTTAGAGTTCATCGACTAACCACCTACATTCACATAAACATCAGGAGAATGTCGCTAATGCTCAGTGTGAAATATACACATACAGCATATTATAGCAGAGGATTTCGGAGGACGAAACTCTTGTGGTTGGAGAGTTATAAGGACTGTATGTTGTGCATACAAACCCTGAGGGCCTTCCTGAGGTTGGGGGATAGTTTGAGGCAGAGAACGGTTCCTCTGTCATCTCCCACGCACAGGAGCGGGTGGACTGGGTTGAAGGCCACGTGAGTCAGCCTCGTCTTCTTCTTCTGAATCACTGCAGTCAGGAGGAGACAGTGGCACGAACAGGGTCACATTCATTCACAGCACACTTCATCCACATCAGTGTACTGTTACATATTATACGTACGTAGTATATGTATATACAGGGGATACTGTTCTGAGTTTTGTAGACAATTTCGTTGCTTCTGGTACGTAGCTTCAAATGACCTTCACAGGACTTAGTTTAGCTCAAAACACTACTCAGCTACAGTGTGCTAAGTAACCAGGCCAAAATGGTTTTGAGTTTGTAACATGTTGGTGAAACAAGCCAAAAACTTCTCATTGGGTTCATTGGGGAAGAGTGAATGATGAGAAAGAGAGAGGGATGGAGAGAGAGGTGTCCTGACTGACCAGACTGCACGCAGAGACTCTCGTATTTGTTGACAGAGAGGTCAAACACGTGGACCTTGCCATCTGCAGTGACGGCAGCAAAGACGGTGGAGGAGAACGGAGACCAGGCCACGTCTCCCACCACACTGTTGAGGTCGTAGCTGAACATTGGGTCACTGGAGATCATAGAATGGTGGAGAGAGAGATAGATAGAGATATGGACAACAGAGCTACACTAAACATATTTCACATACATTATAAGGTACATTACATAGTAGGGAGTCAAAAAGCTCTACCTTGCACCCCACTTTGCCTCACTTCCAAATATAACAGTGGAACCTCCGAACAAGGGACACTATGGGGCCAACGATTTTGCCCCTTGTGTAGAGTTTGTCCTTATCTCTGAGATCAGGTGGTCCCTATCTCAGAGAGTTCATTATAGGAGGTTCTACTGTACCTCATACTTCCTTCTTCTCTCTTCTATTCTCTACACCCATTGACATGATACATGTATTATGTAGTACAGTACCTGAGAGTGTGGTCCCATATTCTAACAGTCCAGTCGGCACCGCAGGAGGCAAACACATTCTGATGGAATGGGTTCCACCTCAGAGCATGCACTGCCATGTGGTGGTTCTGTGCAGCACAAACAGACACATTTACATGTCAAAGACAACACTATATTGAAGAAAGAGCTCAGGAATAAGTAAACACCAAGCAACATGCTCCACAGCCTTTCCTCTCTCTAATGTGTGACACACAGGCCTCTCCTCTTTAAAGATACAACGTAGCTCAAGCTCCATGGGGCAACGCTGCTTGGTAGAGGACTGTATCTGGTGTTAGAAAACTACGGCATACTGCGCCATAGCAGGTCTACGGCTTCCACCGTAGTACGGCGTTGCTACGGTGTATGTAGCAGCAGCGTAGCAAGACCGTAGTTCTTACTACACAGTGTGACCGTACTATGGTACGGTAGTGGGAACTTTTTTGCCATGTACTGTATAGGACTAATGCGGCATAATTGTGGCACGCAGTGATGCACATCTGTAAGCAAATGAAACCCTTGATCCACGACACGGCAGCAACGTACAGCCAGTAACTAAAGGGAATCCTTCACAAAGAGGAGTCCTTTGACATTTGTATTACTACACGATATTCCACTGAACGTATAAAAGTCTACTATATACCAATAAAGCACAGGTGCTAGCCTCCTCCCATGTAAGTATGTAGTACACACCTTGGTGACATTGAGGAAGTGTTTGGTGTAGGCCTTGGAGCAGGTGTAGACATGTCCACTCTCACTGCCCACCAGGAATAGGTGCTCCAGGAATGGGTTGAACCCTATACATGTCCCCGAGCCTGCAGCCACACATTGCAACAACACTTACACATGAACTACTAAAACAGTGAACACACATGAACTACTAAAACAGTGAACACACATGAACTAAAACAGTGAACACAAGTACAAAAGTTCAGTGGCTTCATTAAACTCATGTGTGTTCATGCGCACCGTTTTAGTTCATGTTGTCATAATGGTGCATGGTGGCAATGTATATGTACAGTACCACGTCTCAGGCTGGTACAAAATTGTCTACCCTAGCCCTGCATACTCTGTACTAACCTAACAATAACATTTGTTGCTTTTGTCTCTCGTGACCTTCATTTGGTTATGGATAAAGAACCCTGAGACTCATTTTCCTCACTAGTTACATGTAACACTATGCAACCACTGATACCAACATGTGTAAGATAGACTACTGTGTGTGTGTGTGTGTGTGTGTGTGTGTGGAGATAAGACTGACTGATGACATTATTCCGTGTTCCCTCGACTCCCTCGGTCATCTCTCCGGGCAGAGAGACCTGAACCACGTCCTCCCACTGCAGCTCATTCTGTGGCCAGATGGACGCACATGACACAGGGGGACAGGTGAGAGAGAGAAAAAAACAGACACAACTAGGTGTAAGTGTGTGCCTTAAGAAGTTTGAGTAACGCCACATACTATGCCAGCACTTACGCAGTTACATTACTCATGTATACCTACTTACACATTTATTTTGTAGTTACACAACTAGACGATAATCTACAACATCATAAAATCATCATTTCTTACACTATGTACACAAGCAATAAAGCACTTCTGCATAATAATATGCATGTGTAAGTTATAGAGAGTTACGTACAAGTCAAGTGAGTACGCCACATGTACTGCATGTTATACAGACCTTGATCAGTCTCCAGATGACCACCCTCCCATCTGCTGAGACTGAGTAGAAATTGATGTTGCCTTCCATGTCGTTCTTCTGCCAGCAAACCTTGAGGCATCATCACGTGAGACAGACAGAGAGAGAGAGAGAAGCACAATACGGGAAGGAGAGGAACATTAGAACAGTGCAAAAGATATGAAAAGCACTATAGTGCAAAGCCTCGGCAAAGACACGTACAATAAAGTATATATGCATGTGCGGTACCGCTAATGGATGGGCTGGGCTATTATTACTGAATGACTCACAGTCTTATGGCAGTTCACTGAGAGTCTGTCACGGGCTAGTTACACTACTAGATAGCATGCGGATATATGCCCCGCATTGCAATTTCTAGTGCTTCTAAGGTACGCAGAGCAAACTGGTCTGGTCGAGGTAAGCCTGCGCTAATTGGCTTTAGCACCAGGTTTTCAGTACTTTTACGAAATTCGCCAAATTCAAAATCAAGCCAGTGTAGTGATGAACATTATGGTCTTGCTATTTTGTTGTCTCGTTGCGCGTGGTGACAGAAAACGTGATAACAGACAGATGACAGACACACAAATGACCAACCCTCGCTGTGCATGCATGTACATAAGGGTGTCAACAATTTTGCATTTTTTTAGGTGGAACAAGAGGCAAAGCAACTATCCCAAGCACGTTGACTACGGTTGGAGTATGGAATAGTATTGCTTGCTGCACCTGGAAATTCTCATCTCGCTAAGTTTGCTGTTCTTTGCAAACCCTCCAATATTCAACATGCTTAAGGGAGAGAAAAGATGTGAGCTAGTATGATGGCTGTGGATATTATACATCACACGTAGTAAGAGTGCAGTACCTGCCAGACGGGGTCAGTGTGTTTGCCAGTGTCGACGGTGCTCCTGAAGACAGGCTGGTCTCTCTCAGTGAGGATGAGATTATAGACTGCCACGGTGCCATCGTAGAGGCCAGCAGCCAAGAGGTGAGGGTGCTCCGGGTGGATGTCCAGACACATTACTCCACAGCCTGTCGAGAAGATGAACCTGGGGAGAGGGGGAGAGAGAGGGGTGGGTTCAGTGAGAGGGAGAGAGGAGAGCCGGAGAATTGTATGGATAAGGAGAGAGAGAGAGAGAAGTTTGTTGCATCGCTGATTGGAAGAAAAATGACCGGATGAAATCACCTATATTTGTTCTTTGAATGCACATCTTCCTAGCTGTACAGTGTCCACTTGCGTGCACACTGCACATGCGTTTAGATTACACACTACTTTCTTGAGTACGTAGTATTATGTTCCTGGTTTCCAGTAGTATGGTAAGATATACACAGACACAAGAGAGAGATATAATGCAGAGAGAGAGAGAGACAATGGAGTCATGGCGAGGAGAGCATTACTCGGGGAAGGAAGGGTTCTTTAGTGAGTGGAGACAGATGATGCCGCCTCCAGACTGGTTGTTGAAGTCATCTAGGAAACAACACAAGCAGAGAACAGGTACAGGTATTGCACTGAATCATGGGGCACCTTGGTGTCCTTTATTATTCAGAGTTGTCCCTCATTTGAAGGTTACAAGGTGTAAAATATGGGGCATAACAAGTGTCCTTTAGAGAGGTGTCATTTAGTCACAGAGTGTCCTCTTTTGGAGGTTTGACTGGACAATAATCAGTGTCGTAGATACTGGAACAGATTATTGAACAGATTACTGAGGGAGAAATTGTAAAGAGTTTGAGAAACTCGCTCCATAAAAGAAGCATTTGGAGAGCTTTAACCCTTTGGACACCATGGGTATATACCCTGCTTAAATAAGCAGAAATTGATGTACATATTAAGCATTAGCGCCTAGCATTATGACCCCATATAAATTCTAATTGACTTATGGAGGCTCTGGATACAGTGTCCATGGCTGGTTAAGATTTATACGTAGTTCTCTTCTGACAAACATTATTGATCACGGAGGCTAGCTGAAACATGCACAGTCAAATCTCTAGCGATTATTATTACACTTCTGTTTGACAAGTAAAAATCTTGGAGCTCCAGGTTTAGTGACGTGGGGAAACATTGTACGTACATGATCCGTGGCCAACGGCAAAGAGGTCGGAGTACAGTGGGCTCCAGGCGAGGGCAGTGACGGCCATCTTCCTGGCCTTGTCGTAGCGGAACCTCCAGAGAGGGAGGAGAGTGCCACGCCCCTCCTTGTAGTCGTCCCCTGCATCCTCATAGTACTTGAAGTCTGAGGGAGGAGGTACAGAGAGAGGGATGGATCACAGGTGTATGTACATGTGTTATTGCAGCAGGTTTTTGATAGAGCACAATGAGATTTACTAGCCTTGTAAACCAGGCTAATGCTGTTTACGCGTTCCCAAATCAAGTGGAGCGGATGGAGGTACAAATGTGGGCGCTGTCTTTAAAAAAGAGGCTAGCGTGGAGTACGCATACAGGTACATAGAGCGCTCGCCTAGATAGCAGAGTGTCGTGAGTTCGAATCCCACCTGCAGGACAGCTCTTCTGGAAAAAAAGAGCTGTCCTGGGTGTAGTTGACTTGTTCGTTGTGCCTTGCCTTTCTACCAATGTGCACACGTATATAAATGAAAATGTGCTGGGTAGTACATACAAATGAACATGCCAATAAAAAGAGTCCATCTATGGTAACAATATAATATTATGTACACATGACTCTGTCTGACCCTGAGAGATGTCATCATAGGTATTCTGGTTGACCATCCTCTCCATGACCTTGGCAGCCCTGGCCACCTTCTCTGCCTCTCCACTCTGGCGTAGGGTGGGGACCATGACACTTGGCTTAAAACAACTACTACAATACTTCAACAGTTAGACACAGGCTGCTAACACATACGTAAAACTTGCAAGGGGAGCGAAATGTGTGTTGAGTAAATTTAAACCTGCAAAATAGGTGGGATGAGGTAAGCGATTGGAATGTGGCAGTATATAAGGGCTAAATTTAGAAATGCTATTAAAGATAGAACAAAACAATAGGGGCACAGTGAAAGAATGCAATTGACTTCCGTTTTTTTTAGTAATATTTCTAAATTTAGCCCTTGTATACTGCTTTATTGCGACATCCACTGATTCAATTTTCACACCATGTTTTGATGACATTGCTTAAATTTGTTTGAAGTGACAGCAATGGTAACAGGGGTTAGCAATAATATTGCTGCAGCAAGTCTCATGTCTAATTCACTATACTTTATTGAGCATCTGTCAACTACTACAGTAGGTAAGGCAAGGCAGAGTGCAAACAAGTCAGCTATGTACACCCAGGACAGCTCTTTTTTTCCAAGGAAAAAAGAAGATCTGTCCTGGGTGGGATTCAAACTAATAACACTCTGCAGTCTAGGCTGTACCAACTGAGCTACAAGGGGCAACTCAGCTTGTAGGGTTTCAAATCTATAACACAAGGCAAACCTCAAACCACTGTGCTATGGTACAGTATACTCTCACTCAGCCTTGTCAGCCTTGTATGTATATAAAAACTCAAACACCATTTTTACGAAACATGTGACAGACAGACAATAGTTCTGGACAGTTGGCTCAAACAGACCTGTATGTCTCCTGATCTCTTCTCCTCTGTCTTCTCTCCCTTCCCCTTCCTCCCCTCCCCTCCCCCTCCTCCTCCTCCTCCCTTCCCTCCCTTCTTCTCCTTGGCGGCCTCCTGTCGTGTCAGCTCCTCAACGTAGGCATCAAAGATCTCCATCTGGTTGGCAGTGGCTGAGAATGCAGCTCGCGGTGGAGGCTCTGTCATCGTACCACGGTCCTATAAGAAGACGACCACGTGTGTGTGTATAATTATGTACATACATTGTATATAGATAATTAGTAGGCTGCATGCAAATGTGTTAATGATGTTTGTGTCACAATCGCTTTCAGCAAGAGGTCTCCTCACCCATGAAATAGCTGTACAATGTGTACAGGGACATGTATACTATCATTACACATGATGTATGTACCCTGGCAGGGTTGTTGAAGGTCTGAGAGGCTCTCTCACTGAAGTTGAACTGATTCTTGAGCCTCTTCTCATTCTTTGGCTTCTCCTGCCCCCCTCCTCCCTCTTCACCTCCTCCCTGCACACAACACACACTCACTATATACTGTGTACTGTAGTAAGCTACTGTGTAAACTAGAGAAATTAATGCAGAGGATATTTGGGAAGCAAATGCTAGAGTCACACACACACATGGCATAGACATTTCTGAAATTTAAAACGTTGTGTGGCACCCCCGTCGCGAATTATTATTCGTCATTTGTGGTTGCAATCAATGTCAAAGGGCCACACGCCGTGTGGTGAACTATGTACAGTGGAACTTACACTCCAGAGTATGGCACATACACGCAGCTGTAACATGGAAACTGGAAAAACGAGCGAATTTTTAAGAACAGGTTGACAGAGTGTGTATACCACTGTATGGTAGTGCGTTAGGTGAAATTCCGTGTAGCTGACATTTGCATATGGGTATATACCATCATAAGTGTTTGCTTCTTGTGAGTGCGTGAGAAGGTGTTCAGATTAGAAGGTACTGGTACGCATTATGTTAACACCTCTGTGTTCCTTCACCTCTGTCCCTCCCTCTTCTCCCTCCTCTTCTTCCTCCTCCTCCTCGGCCTCTCCACCACTGGACTCTGCTCATGTAAAACAAACCACCACATCCTCATACATATGGGCACACACACACACACACACACACACACACACCCATTTTTGCACTACTGAGTATCACTAGAGTAAAATGCATCACTCAGGACCAAAGAGTAACAAACCCACTTCTCCCATAGGAAATTCCATACCTACATATGACATCAAAACTCCCTCACTGTGCATTAGTAAAACCATAGGATTGCAAGTCCTCAGGGAGCCTAAGGTACAGTGATTGTCAATACAGTACTGTAAGCTGTAGATTTTGAACAAGAGTCTGTGACATTGGATGTGTGGGGAGAGTTGGCTAGCCATCAAAGATGTTTAACCCACCACCCCAGTTCTCAAGGCTGGGCATCCATGTCCTACTCTTGTGTCTGTATGAGTGAGACTGTGTAACTACAATGTGATAGGCTAGGGCTGCACAAGCACAAAACACTGAAGCATAAGTGGGTACCCTAAAAAATACATGTAATTTTGACCACTGATCTGCCGCGTGTAGTGAAGTTTACAAAAGTCTCCCAGCCCCTGGTCTCATTCTGTTTGTGTTTGGTCACTTTCCTTTCTCCCCCTTTTCCCTCCCTTTCTCCTCGATCACCCCCACAAACCACACACAATTCACGGCATTTTGGTTTTTGCAGGTATATACAGTGAGTTTTAACATGAAACCATGCCAGTAGTCGTCCATCGCACCGGAACATCACACACCAGTATTATGCAAGCCAAACCATGCTGCTGCTGTACATACACAATAGGTGCTACAGGTCTTCAACTCAAATGGTAAAGTGTCTGCTGAATGTGTGTGTGTATTACCGTCTCCCTTCTCCCTGGCTAGCTGTCTTTGGGCCTCGTCACTCTCGGTATGGAGGAGGTTACTCTCCAGAGCAAAGTGGACTGCCAACTGGTCTATACTGGCCACCTACATACACATACACAGTCAAACACATGCAGAAAGATGACAGGTAGAGAACAGTGTGGTAGAGAACCAGAACAAACACAGAATTAACTTTAAATTTTGCAAGAGAGGGCAGGAAGTACATAGCTAGCATAATCAAAGCTTGAGCATTGAAAATACTATGTGCTTGAGACACATAATAATAATAATAATACATTCACTGGCACTTGTGCCTTGTGGGGATCAATCTCATTAGTTCAAAACCACAAGTGCCGAGCTCAACTTTGCCTTTATAAACTAGTGATGCCAGAGAGAGAAGTTGTGGTAGCTTTGCTTATGGGGGCCAACAAGCCCGAAACAGCTGTCCAGAGCTCCACATCTTTTTTCTCTTGGCATCACATGGTCTATTGTTACATGTACTATACATCACACTGTCTATAGGAACAGAGTCCTCAGTACTGCATGCTGCACTGACATACATGTACATAATACCACATCCACACCTGTTTGAAGGTGCTCTCCTTGAAGTTGAAGCGGACCATGTTCTGAGGAGCGTGAGGATTGTCTGCAGTCAGAACTCTCGTCAGCTCCTCTTTCAGCTCTTTCTCGGTCAGCTGCAGCTGGTCGGCTGGTGGGACCAAGCTCCTGGGGCTCCTCCCACCCTCCCCCATCTCCCTCTTCGTCCTCCCTGAACCCATCCTCCCCCTATCACCACAGTCACACTAATAATATCCCAATCACTGAGCACAATACTTTACGGTAGTTCATTACAGCATGGACAGTGTTGAATAGCCAAGAATAAAAAAACGTAGTCAAATATACACGAAGTATGCAAATGTGCATGCGCTATAGTTGACCACACAGACATGACAAAGTAATAGGTTGCGGCATTGTAATGGTTGCACAGAGTCTGGGATGTTTGCCTTTGCCTTGGATAGAGAACAGAGAGTCATGGGTTTGGTGATACCCACCCAGGGCAGTTATTCCCCCTCCAAACACACCACACAAACGAACACACGCACACACACACACACACACATCACCTTTCTACGAGGAGCTCGTGATGCAGCGTGGAGCCTGGACTTGGAGTGAATGAAGCTGCGGTCGCCTAGCAACTGGCTCCGCCTCCTTGTCGTTCCTTCCGTCAAGAGCTGGCTCTTTTTGAGACTGGGATTAGATAGCTGGGTATTTAGAGGAAGATGTAGGCACAGGATTAGTGGAATTCAACACATGCTGTATAATTATAATGCAGGGCTCTGTCTTATGGAAAGAATCAGTGACTACCCTCTCCATTATAACGCCTGTTATAAGGCACACAAGCTCTAAGGACTGACTTTGTTCATTACAATAACTATATGAACGAGTGCAGAAGAGAAGAAGTAGTCTACACCCTTTATTCAAATGTGATTTCAAAGTTTATAAGAAGATTGACCTACAAAATGCTGCATCAAATGGCTCTTGGGCACGTCAACTTGTCTCTGAAAGAAAACCACTCACTGCATGCACCGTCTAGTCTCGCTGGGTGGCAGGGCGAAACTAGACAGCGGTCACCTGTATCCTGCTCCCCAGTTGAAGCCAGGAGTAAGTTAATCTACCTTTTCTTATCATTCAAATTTGAGTTTGGCGTACATTAGAAAACTGACACAAGGACAGTACTACTTGAAATGGCTTTTGGACTTACCAGCTGGTACCTAATATAGGCCTAAAGCTACAACACAACACAACTATATAGCAGTCACCTACCTGCTGCCCAGCTGCTCCGGGCTTGTCCGCTCCTCCCGCCGCTTTCTTGCCTCCACGACCTTTCAACATGACTGATTCCTTCTCTCAGGGGCAATCTCCAGGGCTACACACAAAGCTCTTTCCACATGTGGCGCTCTCACCCTGCGCGGCAAGTTAGGCCGTTGTCATGGAAATAACTTTTACGCATGCGCAGTAAGTACAGACGCGCGTAAATAAGCGCGCTTTTATTGGCTTTTTTGCGCACACCACATGCATCAGTGCATGAAAAAACTAAGAAGACTCCAGTTCTTTTCTGAGGTCTCCTGGCTGGCCGTCCAGTAGCTGCAGTGTCCCATCCTGAGACCAGACGGCCTGGAATGAGATCTTGAACTCTGCCATCTTCCAGTCCAACAGTTTCTGCATTCACAATATAATATACATAACTACGATACAAGAGTTTTAGTTGTGTTTAGGTACCAGGAGTCTGGCCTGTTCCGGAGTCAAGGTGTCCCCCTCTCTACAGACTGTGTACTCATCTGTCACATATACCACTCCTAACAACAATGTGTGCATGTGTGGAGGTGGGAGGGGCAAGAATAGGAGACAGAGGGGGAGGAGAGGGAAAACATGTCACTCGATTCCATAACCACTAAACCTAACACAGGTGTTTCCAAAGCAATTTGGGGCGTCCATGATAATATACTCAGTAAATCGCCGTGCGTAGGCATAGATCTGCCCACCATTTGGCTGGCAGTAGACATAACCCCACAATAATAGATGCCGAATGCTGGCTGTTGTCCAGGGGATAATGCATGTATAAATGAAAAGCACTAAAGTGGAAACCCTTGGCTAACTGTGCATGCGCGGTAATTGATGGGCTGGGCCTTGTAGTATGTGTTTACTAGCTCGCGGAGAGTCTGACACGGGCTAGCTACAGTAGTAGATAGCATGCGGGAGTCGATACATGCCCTTTATTGTGACTTCTTGTGCCTTCAAAATACACAGAGCGAGCGGACGCGGTCGAGGTAAGCCTGTGCTAATTTGCATATTGGCTTGTTCACTTGCTTTTCACGCCATAACTTCTGAACGTGGCACTTTTACAAAATCGCCATTTAAAAATGAAGCCAGTGTAGCGCTGAACCCGTTGGTGTCGCTATTTTACCTGTTTGTCGCACAGAAAATGTGTACAGACGGACAGACAGACGGAGAGACAGACAGACGGAGAGACAGACAGACAGACAGACAGACGGAAGTACAGACAGACAGACAGACAGACGGACGACCGACAACCAAGTACTGTAACCCTCGCTGCGCATGCGCGCCGCCAAGGGTTAATAATGAATAAATACTGGACAGGGGTACTTTTGGACACAGCACATGTACCAGGTTATGTCGAATGCAACCAACACACCACAATCTTGGCTAAAACCCACTGTACTATTGAGTGGAGCTGTCAAAATTCAAACCTTTCTTGAGCGAGGTCGGTAGACCAAGGCTCCTCAAGTGAGGCTCCATACTGTGAGGGAACTTATCGAGGGGACCCTCCTGGATAACGACATCGTCGGTTGCTAGGAAACCAGCCCGGGCGTGGTCCTGTTCAGAGTAGGACTGGAACCAGCTGATGACATCGCCCCGGGGTTGATTAGTGAAGAATAGACCGACGTTTCCTCTTAGGAGCTGAGGAAGGAAAAACCTTTGCTTATCGCAATCTTATAACACTAGAGAAATATTGGTATGAAAGTGTGCATGGAACAACCGAGTTGATTGGGACTGTTGCCTATTTCATCATCTTTTCTAATGCTAGAGTGTGCTAAACACAATAAGTAAATATGGATGCATGTGTCATCAACATCATAGAGATCAAACAACGCAGAAGAGCAGCATCATGTAGTACGAAAGGGCAGCTCGCGGCTGCAGACGAGTGTGTGTGTGTGTTGTGTGTGACCTTGGCAAGAGAGGAGAGACCCTCTCTGTATTCCTCGGCCTCAGACCTCCCGAGGGCTGTGGCCAGGACTCTGTTCCTCCCGTAGAACCACCGGCTGCTCCTCCACTGGGTCCTCACCTGAACAGACAGGGAAGACGACATCATATCACACTGACACAGGAGACACAGGGAACAAAACATTGTTTCTCTCTCTCACCATCTACACATGCACTCTTCACACTTCTTTCAGTCTACCATGCATGATATCGGGAGCGAGATGTGCAGATTTTTAAACTAGCCCGGTAGAGAAAGCTACTACATGCTCCAGTGCTTACATGCTCACATTACTAAGGAGGTCATTTAGAGAGGGGGGCTATTGGGAATATTCAATGCACACAGACACATTGTTCTGCTTCCTCAACTTTTCTTGAGCAGTCCTGGTATCTCCCGAGACATTGGCACTTTTGTACTAATATTTCGCAACGTTGTAAGAATGCAAGTAATTAGGGATTTTTTCAAAACAGCAAAGCTATCAGAAAGAGATCCACAACACACAGACACTCGCAACACACCTCCTTGAGTTTGCTGTTTCTCATGTTCTCAACACTATACACAAATATGTGTGAGTACTTGTCCACACAGTCTCGTACCTGGACAATAATTATCAACAGAGAGAGATATAGTACTAGAGGAATCAGGGTTTTAGCTAGGATCAAATTTAAGGGGGGTACTGTGTATTTGAACAACATTTGAATAACATTTGAGTACACATGAGTGTTGAACATAAAACTTACACATTACAAACATAAAGAGTCTAACTGTTAAAAAGTCTGCGTTTTTTTGGGCACGGGGACCCCGTGTTGCTGCTTCAATGTGTGGGAAATCCTCTGGACCTTCAATTCTAACTCGTACGTGTGTTCATTCTATTGTGAAGTTCAGTGTTAACCCGGTTCATTGCACTGAAACATCGTTCGCAGTCAGTGGTCGATACTGGCAAAACCAGTGCATGTACCACGAGTTGAGCCACGAGGGGGGAAAGCTCTTTGTGTTGTCGTTTGAGAGCACTTTCTCTGCCAGCTCCTGCATAGAGATGCATCCTTTCAGTACTGTATGCTTCTTGGCTGTAATCTTTGGGAAAGCATTCCTTGCTAATTCCCATTGGCCCTCCGTCCTCTGAGTAGTGGTTCAGCAGTATATACCTCCAAGTGTTCTTTGGCTACTTCAAACTTTCCAAAAAGTCCAGCGGGACACTGTACGCTTCCACCACGTCACGTTTAATTATCTCTAGGAACTCTCTCACGATCTGTGGAGAGGTGTATTTGGCATTGCGGCCAACTTTCAGAGCTCAAAGTAATGGCAACCCAAGCTTTCAGCCAGCGGTATCACATGTGGATACTCGTGTGTGCATAGCCATTTGGAGCACCCTATCGCTGCCTGCGTTTCTGCTGTCTCAGCATCTTTAAATTTACGAGGGATGCCACCATAAGACGCTTCTGCTGTCGCTACAACAGCCCCCCTGTGCATGGACTCATGCTTTATTACTTTATCTCTTCGTAGAGAAAAGCAAGGGTTGATTATCCAACTGCCCTTCCAGTTCCGAGGCCATTTCCCGTGGTTTGCACACAATTTACAGCGCATACCTGTTATTCCATCTACTTTCACACTTTCTAGCCACGTAAAGTCCTTGTTCCATGCGGGATTGAATCCACCAACCCTGTGTTTGACTTTTGACCTTCGGACTTTCTTGGTCACGGGCTCTGAGTCGTCTCCGCTCTCCACTGACGAACTCCACGATTTATCAGCAGATTCTACACTCGACGGTGCATTGGAGGAGCCCGGAGCGCTGCTGGTCGAGCTGAAAAAACGGTCAATAATTCGCTGGACGTGATGTGAAGACATCTTCCTGTTGCTACACGTGGCATTTCTGATTGCGCAATAAGGGCCTGTGCAAGGGGGCAGGCTGCAATAATAGGGGGGCGGAGCCGCTTTTTAAAGGGGCTGGTTCTATCTTAGGGGGGCACCCCGCCCTGTTGCTTTAGCTCAAACACTGGGAATGCCACGCATAGTTGGCAAGCGAGTGTGAGCAGTTCAATATTTCGCGTGTGTTTTGTGCGTATTTAGAAATCACGTAGAACATGGTGATTTTACATGCTGGTAACAAAGATGACGACACCCACACAAACCGATTATGCTACTGTACTGTAGGTATGTATACAGAATGTGAGAGACACCATAAGACACACCAGGAAAACAAGGCTAACTTCATATGTATCTTATCACCAAAAGAAACTGCCAAAAGAGCTGGTTGGTGAACCACAAGGCTGTAAAAGGTGTTTAGTTACCTCCTGTAAGAGTCCGCTCTTTGCCTCTCTCCCTTTCTTCCTCGTCTGCGACAGAGTGTCTGGAGTCACAGGGGCAATACGTCACGTGACCACACTCAGTGAGGGCTAGGGTTAGGTCAACTCACAGATTCTATTTCTCTTGGATTTCGGCATCTTCGGGTGTTGCCACGAGTTCGGGTTCAAAGGTCGAATTTCAGTCAACGCATGCGCGACAGATGTCGTTATTTCGAGTTGGAGACGTCTCTGAAACCCCGAGAGTGAAGACAAAAGCGCTTTACTACCAGTCCTACAAAGAGTTTTACACATACAAGTAGCTTTTCAAAGAGTTATAATGAGTTCTTCATGTCACTGGGTGTAGCTATATGAATAATACCAGCTCACCTTAAAATACTGTGCATATATATGCCCACTGGGTCACTGCCATTATTATTATGTCAATGTAGTCTTACTCTATATCTCACTCCTCGTCACAGAAACGATACCATCTACCCAACGGGCGACGAAGGTCAGAAACGGTTTTCTCTGAAAACGCTCCGTTGCTAAGCTAGAGCGGGAAAAGACCAACACAACGGCTTACTACGGCATGATCGATCCGCGTACCTCGGATCGGACGCACCAGAAGATGCAACGCAGGGCGTGTATCACCTCTCGCATGCTATCTAGTAGTGTAGTTAGCCCGCGTCAGACTCTGCGCGAGCTGGCCAGAGACCACGAGTAAGTAACAGCTAAAACTAAACCCAGCCCATCAATTAGTGGTACGGCGCATGCGTTTACTTACGCGCGGATGACACATGCGCCGAGGGTTTGCACTTCAGTGCTTTTCATTCTGTCTGTCTGTCTGTCTGTCGACGCTTATTCTGGCACTACAGGCTACGAGGCGGCCCATTAAACGACTTCCTTCGAGAGATATGCCGTGAAAACAAGCAAAAAAAGTCAAATCGCACTGGGCTTACCGCGACCTGGATCCGCTCGCTCTGTGTACCTTGGGGGCTCAGGAAGTCACAACCAATGGCATGTATCGACTCCCGCATGCTATCTACTACTGTAGCTAGCCCGTGTCTGACTCTCCGCGGGCTACTAGCGGAAGACTACGAGTAAACGCATACAGATAGCTGGCCGGCCTAGCCCATCAATTAGCAGTATCGCGCATGCGCAGTTTGCCGAGGGTTTGCACTTTAGTGCTTTTGGAAATGTTGAACATTGTTGGCGAGCGGGAGCGACCAAACTTGGGATTTGCCCGCGATGTTCGGGCTGCATAACGTGCCGTCAGCGCACAGCTTTGATCTACCTGTCGCCGTTACATACGTATTGTACATTGGCGGAACGGAGAGCAGGTGAGCTGAACAGTACTTACCTTACGCTTTCAGCTCGTCAATCGTGATCCACCGGGCAGCTGGCATGCAGTATGTGAGCAATCCTAGCGTATTTGCAAGTTGCACCGCGCGGCTTTGTACGCGCTTCGTTTTAAATTTTCACACACCTGGCGCCTCGCGATATGCGCTCATCGATCTAGCCTGCTATACAGAGAACTCTCCTTCATTGGACGGCATGCGCTGCAACCTTCGTTGACTGACCGAGGCCTCTTCCCAATCTTCATGGTTCCAAGCACTTACACGACGTACGCGGTCGGTCGTAAAATTATAAAAATCGGCCCGTGCGACGACTAGGTTGGCTCGCTTCCGCTCGCCAATAAATAAATAGGATTACACATAGTAAGCCAAATTACACCATAATGAATACAGTTGTTTAAAATTGACAGAACTAGAATGCTGGTATATATTCATAAAGTCGGAGAAGATGTGCCTTTTTTGCTCTCTTTGCAGCAATATTCACATCCAGAAGCACTGACTTAACAAACTCTTTCTGCTCCACAGAATAATGTTCGTAATCATTTCTATCATGCGGTCGCTTGAAGTCAGCATAGTCCAAATTTAGTTTATTTCTCACTGTCTCTGGATCATACGAAACGTCCAGAAAATCAAGGGTCTTTTTAATTTCCCCTACAGTGTCCTGCTTGAGATCTTCGTATCGCAAGATGTGAATCGGGTGTTTGTCCTGGTAGATTATCCACTGTAGCAGGCGACTGCTCCAGTGCCTCATGTACCCACGTAAGAACATATCCCATTTATTTTCATCTACAAGAAACATTGAATACAAAAAGTAAAGGCGTTATGTTACAGAGTAGACCTGCTACACCAGTTCAAATTGAGTGTACAGTGCGTGAAGGCCGCTTAGGCAAATGTAAGTTCAACACTCACTACGTCAACCCATGCATTGGCACAACCTCCAGAAAGGGCTGTCGTGTAGTCAACTGAACATTAAACAAACGACTCACCAAAGGACTCTTTAGGAAGAGTGGACGTGTGCAAATGTTTTGCTATTGGTGAATTCTTTTGTCCAACAATCATCGATGAGTACCTATTCCACTCTGCTACTGCAGATTTGACAGGGTTGCGAAGAATAAACACAGCCGCTGAATAGGTGGCTTCTGATGATAGGAAGTAGAAATTGTTCTCCCCTTCCCAACGGGGTACAATTGAGTGTGTCTTAATCACCAGCACTCTCCCGGTCTTGACGTTCTCTCCAACGTACCCATGAGCTCTCATGGCTGTGTCACAGAATAGGTATCCCGTGCAAATGCCTGAAGCCTTCTCAAGTAGACCTCTGGTCCACGTATTTCCAGCACCAGGTGCACTGGCCAATGCAACAGCACGACGGCTATTGTTGGACAGGAACTTGCAGTCACTCTCGCTCATCGACCCCTTGTAACCCTTCCTCGTTTGATTTTCACATGATTTCAGTGCATGCTTATCACCCTTAGACAAGTTTTCCTGACAGTTCTTCTGCTTACAATTCTGAGGAGCCTTTATTCTTCCTGAATGTTTGGTAACACTATGTTGGAGACTGGTATTCATTCTAGCCGGAATTGTAGTACTGGTGGTGGCGGTACTTCTTGGGAGAAAACTTGTTGCAGAATTTGTTGCCTTGCTTTCGTCCTTGGTCAGATTTGGGCGACTTGTTGCTAAATTTGTCGCCTTGCTTTCGTCGGGCTTGGTCAGGGGACTTGTTTCCTCAAGAATTCTGCCTTCGTGTTCGGCGCTGAAGTTCGGTGCACTTTGCGGACTGCGGATACTTGCCGAAGAGTATGCTGCAGAAAAGAAAACTTCGCTTTGGGGCTCATTTGATGCCGAATCTTCAGTCTCAAAAGGTAAACTGCGCAGAAGAAGTCCAGCCAGCAAAGTGATAGAGAGAGTTGCAAAAGCAATTAGTCCACATCCGTACCACTTCTTCCTCATGTTTTACCGCACGCCTCAACTCTAGCCGTCTCGTACTCTTCTGTAACTCTTCGCGGGTTTTCTATATATGCATGGTTTGATGCGCAGTGCAGGGTGCGCGGGATGTATATAGCTGCAAAGCTAATGGTATGTCAGCATACCTGTCAACCTCCCAGTAAAAAAAGGAAGGACTATGCTTCCTAAATTTTACTAGTGACTGAAGAGTGATGACGATGAGATACGTATTTATCGATGCGATTAGTACCGTGCTGTCTATATATGCGCATTTCAAGCACGCGCAGGAACGACGCGCGCGGAGCGAGCCACGCCTTTTTTCCGAGCGTGACCGCTCTAGCGGAAAGACGGGCGACGTCAAAGGGAATTGATTCGGGACCGACGGTTGACAGGTAGTCCTCCCAGTTCAGGTATTTATGGCAATACCTTTTAGACAACTCTGAGTAGTATATACAATACAGGTACCACAGTTTCCCTTGGTCTCTGGACTGGACTGTGTCTGATCGCTACCTCTCTCTCCCCACTGACAAGACCCTAGCCAGATACATCTGGATAGACGCTGCTGGACAGGTAATAATATTTATCACTAATGTTGGTGTGTGCAGTCAGTTTGTGTTTTGAGTCGCCCCATTCTTTCTGTTCTGCTAGCAATTGCGTTCATACATTTTACGTTGGATGAGGTGCATTTGGATGTAAGTTGACTTGTTTGTAAATGGGGTGTATTGCACCTTGGTCTGCTCCTGCATATGAGCAGTTAATACCAGTTTTATGTATATACACCTTAGCCTTTTGAGCCCTGTATGCTGAGCTGCCCTTGAAGCTCAGTTGGCACTCTGCCTAGACTGCAGAGAGTCGTGGGTTCTATTTCCTGTTCGTTTGTCCTGGGATATATATGTGTGTTGTTTGCCTTTGTCTGGACCTGGAACCAGCTTGTGGATGTTTCTGAAACTATATCCTTTACTCGAAATAGTACTCATGTGTACCAATGTCTCTATAAGCAGTCGTGATTGTGAAAGCTTTGTGAGGTATTATGTGCTACGATGTACTCACATTTTACTACAGTACGTGTATTAATAGTACTTGCTGTATATACCAACAAATTTTTGTTGGTTGGTCACTGGTACTGTTAACAAAAGGGGTACAGATTTGTAGTTAATGCTCCTTTGACTGAGGCTACTTCTTCGATATGGTCCGTCAGAAAACACTGTGCATAAAGAAATGGATTGCTTCCTACAATTTTGTACAGGGTGGTTGGGTAGTAACGGCAACCATGTCTGGCTGTTCTCTAGGTCTTCCCCCTGACTAAGGGTAAGGTAATCTTGCTGTGGCTTGTGCAAAGGAATACCACACTGCTTCTGATTTCACATGTGTGTGTATTAAAACTACCCAGGACAGCTCTTGCTTCCCACGAATCACCTGATATTAAATATAGGGGTAACCAAGTCTAAAGACAAACAGACTATCAAAAAGCTCTCCAACGGATGGCTTGAATCACCAAAAAGGAAGAAACAAGGGGTCATTACACAGCAAAGATGCACAAAGCTACATGACACCATCCCTATATCTTTGTTTTATTGTTCATAATATGAGACAAAGATATAGCCATCCCTATATCCCCTTCATTTTGAAGAAATGATTTTTCCAGTTGTACCTGATAGCTACCTCCATGTCTGTACAGCAGAAGTCAGCAGCAGTCTCGTCACCTGGTCCTGGACCTTCAGCTGGTGGTGGTGCTTCTTCTGTTGAGAAATCACCTCCTCAGTATGTTACTATACCCATTGTTGAATGGTGAACTCCATTACCACCATAGCTACATGAGAAGGCATAAGAGGATTTCTTGGCTAAGCTCTTTGGTCGACAAGTGAAGTAGTTGTCGTCACAAGGAGAAAGGCTGTTGGTGGAAAGGAGAGTTGTCTGACTTTTCACAACATGTCCAGTCCTCCCAGTTCAGGTATTTATGGCAATACCTTTTAGACAACTCTGAGTAGTATATACAATACAGGTACCACAGTTTCCCTTGGTCTCTGGACTGGACTGTGTCTGATCGCTACCTCTCTCTCCCCACTGACAAGACCCTAGCCAGATACATCTGGATAGACGCTGCTGGACAGGTAATAATATTTATCACTAATGTTGGTGTGTGCAGTCAGTTTGTGTTTTGAGTCGCCCCATTCTTTCTGTTCTGCTAGCAATTGCGTTCATACATTTTACGTTGGATGAGGTGCATTTGGATGTAAGTTGACTTGTTTGTAAATGGGGTGTATTGCACCTTGGTCTGCTCCTGCATATGAGCAGTTAATACCAGTTTTATGTATATACACCTTAGCCTTTTGAGCCCTGTATGCTGAGCTGCCCTTGAAGCTCAGTTGGCACTCTGCCTAGACTGCAGAGAGTCGTGGGTTCTATTTCCTGTTCGTTTGTCCTGGGATATATATGTGTGTTGTTTGCCTTTGTCTGGACCTGGAACCAGCTTGTGGATGTTTCTGAAACTATATCCTTTACTCGAAATAGTACTCATGTGTACCAATGTCTCTATAAGCAGTCGTGAATGTGAAAGCTTTGTGAGGTATTATGTGCTGCGATGTACTCACATTTTACTACAGTACTTGTATAAATAGTACTTGCTGTATATACCAACAACTTTTTGGTGGTTGGTCACTTGTACTGTTAACAAAAGGGGTACAGATTTGTAGTTAATGCTCCTTGGTTCTTTGACTGAGGCTCCTTCTTCGATTTGGTCTGTCAGAAAACACTGTGCATAAAGAAATGGATTGCTTCCTACCTTTTTACAGGGTGGTTGGGTAGTAATGGCAACCATGCCTGGCTGTTCTCTAGGTCTTCCCACGAATCACCTGACTAAGGGTAAGGTAATCTTGCTGTGGCTTGTTCAAAGGAATACCACACTGCTTCTGATTTCACATGTGTGTATGTGAAAACTACCAGGTAGAAAGGCAAAGAGGCACAGTAACTACACCCAGGACAGCTCTTTTTTCCAAGGAAAAAGGAAGAGCTGCACTGGATGGGATTCGACTAGGCGAGTGCTCTACCAACTGAGCTACTAGGGCAACTCAGCTGATAGGGGTTCGAATCTACAACACAAGGCAAACCTCAAACCACTGTGCTATACTCTCATTCAATATGTAGGAGCAGACCGGGGTATATGGACAGATTTGGCCAGCAGGAGCATGCAAACTGTTGTGAGTCACTGCTTGATGAGTCTATAGACACCGATTTTATTGTGGTTGACAGGCAAATCTGTATATATACCTGTCTGTTGTCACCAGTATAGTAGTAGAATAGTGTGCACTGTGCTCTGGTCTAGGCTGCATGTATCCACATAATCATATAGAACTTGACTCTACATTTTCTATAATGAATGGTGTCACATTTCATTCTGTCGCGCTTTTTGTGGTTTTCAGAATGTGAGATGTAAGACCAGAACTCTCTCTTGTCATCCCTCCTCGGTATCCGACCTTCCCCAGTGGTCCTTTGATGGCTCCAGGTACTATACATATAGAATGAATGAACGCATTATTTGCGAGCGAGCATGAACATATAAAATTTTTTCCACGCTTATATATTTTCCTTTTTTCACACACATTTAGAACATTATGGTATGTGCAGTACCCTGTGGCCGTGACACAACAAACTTTTTTGCATTCACTCTAAGTTTGACTATCTTGTGTCTCTCTTGCATTCAGACCCCTAAATATACAAGCTCGTCTTGCACATTTGCCATGACATCACTCCCTTTCTCCTCCTTCCCCCACTTTAATCACATCCTCACAGCACTTCCCAGGCCCAAGGTCATGACAGTGATGTTCTCCTGAAACCAGTCAACTTCTATAGAGACCCTTTCTTCCTGGTCTGCATTAACCTCTATACTAGTTTGGTGATCAATCTCAATCCTATGTTGAGAAACGGCAAACATTGATGGTCTCATGCAACGTAAATGTATGGGTATGTTGTGTCTGCATGTTTCATGCAATAGACAACACTCCTTTTGTCATGCAACATGTTTCATGGGCTATCATATACCCAGATATGGTTGCATTAGACTTTTGTTATGTGCAATGTACATATTGGCTTTAGTCGGCATATCATTTGTATGTAGGCAATTGTTCTAGCATTACTTCAGAGGATTATCTCTCTATTGATGTTATTGCTAAGCTATGGACTAGAGACTTCCTCGAACCACTGTGATGCAGGGGAAAGCAGACCTACAGGGAAGTTTCGAATGAGATCGGGGTGGTTCGACCACACCAAACCTCTGTGATGCAGGGGGAAGTTATTCTGTGGTTGTTGTGCAGGGTAACAGTATCCTAGTGTGTGAGACGTATTCCAAGGACTGGACACCTCACCCTACAAACAAGAGATACTCTTGTGACAGGGTAATGGAGAGGTGTGTACTACTGGAGGTCACCATATTACGTGTTGCAACTTTGTTGCACGAAACGAAAGCTGCACACAACTTCAAATGTATGACGTGTGCATGCAACATGCATGTTGCGAGCATAAGAAATTCTTAGAAATTCATGTGACCTTTCTGCATGCCTATCACACCCACACATTTGAAGTTAGCTGCAATTTTGACAATGTAGCATCGTGTATTATGGTTTTATGTAACTTAAGCCACGAACAAAGGGGAACGAATAAGCAAACACTGCACATTCTCCTCATTAGACATGGAACAATGCCAGTTGGTAGAGCGCTCGCCTAGTGTCGTGGGTTCAAGGGCAGCTCTTCCTTTTTCCTTGGAAAAAAAGAGTTGTCCTGGGTGTAGTTGACTTGTTTGCTTTGCCCTTGCCATTCTACGTGTCACTTTTTTGTTAACACGTGGAAGTAAAACACCCACACACTCTCTACAAACTATTTAAACCTCATAGCATGTGCGTAGTTTACTTTACGTGAAAACTGAAAGCAACTCATATTTGGTGAGGCGATCACAACAAGTGAAAACTTTCAGCGACTTATGAAAAAAATTTGTTACAGTAGACATAATGAAGTATACAATCAGCAATTCAGACCACTACATACTCATGTAGGCTCAGCCTTACTCTGTATTACTGTCACAAAAATGATTGAAAGCCACACATTTTGGTGAGCATTGCAACAACTTTCAGGGACTTACATGAACAACTTGTTACAGTATGATCAATGCAGTAACAATCAGCAATTCAGACCAC